AATTTTGATGGAGATTGTCATTGACATTGTGCGAAGTTGACAAACCATGGTGATCAAAACTAGAAATGTTGACAAAAGTCTTCATTGCAATTTGAAATGTTGACCAAAGACAGTGGGGATAAAATGCAGCACTTTCACAGCATTTTCATTCCCCTGTTCTCAGATCAACTGTAGAGCTCCGTTGCTGCTCGTAACAAAATGTGAGGGGGAAAAACTATGCTTGATATTAACAGAGAACAGCCACCCCAGATCTGAGCACAATAATAGGGGGGTAACACATCTGCACCTAGTTGAAGACTGAACAATGAGAATGTATAATGGACGTGTAAACTGGGGCCTGATGTACAGATCTGAGTATGGACATATCTCAATATACAAATATTGTATTTCTCTCACTTCTGATCCGGCTTGAATTCTGGGTGAAGGGTCATTCATCCCTTGATAAGCCCAACTGCACAGACGCTGATGGAAGATTCAGAGGCATAAATAGAAGCTGCTTAATGAATGGAACCAAGGTACATTCCTTTGTGACACAGGGACAGGGTACATTCCTTTGCTATTTAACAATTCTGTATGATAATCAAGTATAAAACCTTGAGACACCACTAAACCCTTTTACTATTCACAGCTGTCGGTAGCCCCTCGGCATCACAGTGAGCTGTGATGTTTTAATGAGGTGTTTAATCCAAGATTACCAGCAACAAACAAGCTGAGTTAGTGGCATGATTTTTCTGTACATTGTTTATGGACAGGCCAAGATACAGGCATATGTACACCAGCTTAATGTTAAAGCCAACCCACTACTGCTCATTTAGTTCTTTGGGGTATTCTTATGTTTGTTTTAAAAAGGAAACAATACCTATTCATTTTTGCCTATTAATGACGTACTGTACTGAAAAAATATTTTATATATAAAATTAGGGAAGACGTGTTTTTATCCACTGGAAGACTTTACACAAAAAGTCTGATTTTACTTGGGGAGAGGAGGGAGGAAAGGAATGTTCGTATATATTTTTTCTCTGTTTGGAAAAAAAAGTTACTAAATAAAAATCTTTCCATTTTAAAATGGCTTTTGAACGAGTCTTTCATTTGACAAATATATTTCATTTGACAAATACATTGAACCAAGAGTCTTATTTACACCCAGACCCCTGGATCCTCTATGGCACCATTTTGTTCATTGTTTGTAGTACAGCAGCATCACTGCCACTACAGTAACACATATACACACACGACACTAGCTATCCTCACAGGTGGCTTCTTCTTTTGTCTTAGCTGCATTTGCACTAGGGGGTTTGACAGCAAACTGCAGGAGGTAGGGGCTGAGGGCTTTAAACCATCCTTTGAGGACTTCAATATCTGAGATATAGGGCTGTGTCCAGACTCAGGGGTTTTTTCCGAAAAAGTAGCCTTTTTCCGAAAAAACTTCACCTGCGTCTAGACTGCAGCTGCGTTCTTTCGAAATTAAATCGAAAGAACGCGGCTTTTCATTCAACGGTGGTAAACCTCATTTTACGAGGAAGAACGACTTTTTTCGAAAGTGCTCTTTCGAAAAAAGGCGTTCTTGAATGCAAACAGGGGTTTTTCAAAAGAGAGCATCCAGACTGCCTTTCGAAAAAGCGGCTTGCTTTTACGAAAGTTCCGCTTGCAGTCTAGACGCTCTTTTTCGAAAGAGGCTTTTTCAAAAGTATCTTTCGAAAAAGCCTCTTTCGAAAGAGGCTTGCAGTCTAGACATAGCCTAGGTGAGAGGATTATTCTAGCAGTGGGTGGGTGAGATTCTGTGGCCTGCATTGTGCAGGGGGTCAAACTAGATGATCATAATGGTCCCTTCTGACCTTAAAGTCTATGAGTCTATGAGCTGGTTTGGGAGTTGAACACCACGATTAGCTGAGACGGGCCAGCTCCTCTCCCGCTAAGATCAGGGTAAGATGCCAATGGACGGCGTGGAAGGGAAGGCTCCTTGACACATTCTCATCCCATAGGCCCCCAGCCTGGAGCGCTTGTAGCATGTTGCTCGTCCCAGATTCCCCATCGACACTGGGGCCAGCAGAGCCACCCAGACCCTCCCACACACGCCCCAAAGTCCCGAGCCCACACAGGTCCGTATTTAAAGTAGGACGGATGCTTCTCATAAGAGGTACAGCGAGGAACTAGTTCACATCCCTCACTCGGCAGTGGGAGATCTGTGTAAGTTTGAAACTCACAAAGGGGAGAGGTTGTAGAACTGGCCTGAGGGGGGAAGCTAGAGGCTCAGGGTTTTTGAAAATCTGGTCTCTTCTTGAACAGCCTTTTGGGGATAGGATTTTCGGGCTGATTTTGGTTGCTCAACTCAAGAAACCTTAGGCTCCTTTAAGGTGGCAAGACTGGCATCCAAAATCGCTCGTCACTTGGGCCTGGAGTCAAACTTTTTATATTTAGATTGGAAATTCCTTGGAGGCAAAGACCTGTTCTCGGTCATCAAGATACGACCATAATACTCCTAATACATCATGGATGGTGGCTAGCACCATAAGGGCCTGGTGTAGGATTCGGTCAACTACGTGCTACCTTAATGCACCTAATAGATAATGGGCAGCATATAACAGCATTGGGTCCTGGATCAAGGACTAGGTGCTAGCAACAATAATTCCCTCAGGCACCCAGCTTTGAAAATCTTGGCCCTGGAACTTGGACTGAAGAAAATCTTTCAGTGACTCAGGGGGAGCTCTGGGTGGCAGGAGGCTGCCTTAGGGTTGGGAGAATTGTTTCCCCGGAAGAAGAAAGGAAAAAGAGCCACTTACCGCCAGGGGCCGCCCTAGTCACAGGGAAGAGGAGCAGCAGGAGAGCGAGTTGCTTCATTGCTGACTTTGCAGCAGGGAAAACAGGGGATCAGCTGGTTAATAGCCCGGCTAGCGGGTGTCAGGGCTCCTCCCCAGCCCTCCTGCTCCCAGGGCTGTGCTGGCTCTCTGCCTAACCTGCCCATGGCACGAGCACCCTGCAGCCCTTGAGTTCAGTGGGGTTTGCCTGAGAGGGGAGAGGGTGGACCTGCAGTGACATCCTTAGAGCAGTTTCCATCTTCAGAGCCTGCAGCAATTGCTAGGAGGAAACCAAGAAGCATCAAATACATTCAGAGAGGCCTCCCCCAGCTCTCCCTCTGCTAACTGAGCGTACGGCCCCGCGGCGCCGGGGGGGGGGGGGGGGGTGCAGGTCTCATTTTACCCATTTCACAGATGTGGAAACTGAGTCAGAGAGGGCCTCACCTAAAGCCCATTCAAGTGAATGGAATGCCTCTCCTGGCTCCAGTCGTGTCCTGGCATTAGGTCCAGCACAGAGAACAGAGGGGATCAGTACCCACCAGCCCTTCTCAGACCTTTTCTGGGTGTCTCTCTCCTGGCTTTGCAGCAGAACTAACATCAGCACATTCCACTCATGCCGTGGAATCTGCCTGCATGCTGCATGGACACATCTTTGGGAACCCCTGCAGCACAGCTACCCAGGGCTAAAGGCAAGTCGAGGGGCTCTTGTGATTGAGCCTCTGATTCCAGAGAGCTGCCTTCAACACCCCCCACCCCTCTGCCAGGGACTCACTGGGCAGGTGACGTGCGCTCTCTGGGCTCAGCTCCCCAGCTGTCCAACACGGCAAGAACTATTCCTGATTCCCCAGGGGGCTCTGAGGATAAGCCCACTGAAGCCAGGGGTGGGAACCTACGGCCTGGGAATTGGATCCAGCTTGCCTGGATCTGGCCCCCGAACCTCAGGGCTCCCTCCCTCCAGTGGGGCTGAAGCACACACACTCTACTA